CCGCAGCGCCTGCCCATCCAGGTGTACACGGACCCTGAAGCCGAGTGTGCCACAAGTGGGTGGGAGGTGACCTACACCCTAGAATGGACCTGGTGCATGATGACGGCCTCGGCGACACTTCCGCCCTGTCCTGACTGTGGCTGTGAGTTGGAGCTGACCCGATGGCCACAGGCAGAGGGGACTCTAGGTCCACTGCAGGTTCTAGGACCACCAGGTTGGTGATCCGAACCCACTCAGAGGGGCCCGGGAAGACAGGCCTGGTAATCTGCTCCCAAAGGCCACGCGGACCCTCTGAGCGCGGCCGGTTCTACTGAGCAACCTCAAGGCCTGGCCCCGCCTGGCCCGGCATGCAGGCGCATGGTGGGGGAAGCCGCGTGCCCCTTGCCCTCACGTCACCTATAGTACTCCACGTAGCTGGTCTGGTCAGCCACCTCGGTCAGCACGGTGGTGACATTGCTCCACTCGGGCAGCCCCGCGAGCTGGGCCATGATGGTGCCGGCCATCTGCTGCAGGAACCTCAGCGCCTGGACGTAGTCTCCGCGCGCCGCCAGCATCTCGCCCAGCCTCGCCAGGTGCTGCTCCAGCTCCAGCTGCATCTTCTGGGTGGTTCCGGCAACCTGGGGGGTAGGGATAGAGAAGGGGCCCTTGTGACCCTCCGCATAGGAGGGGGTGAGGGGGTGGGGTCCTAGTTGGAGCTCTGGGGAAGCAGGGCCTCACAGGGACAGAGGAGGGCCACTCCTGAGGGAATGGACGGCCAGCCCCACCTGCCCCAAGGAAGGGTGGCCGACCGGCCGGCGGGGAGCCCTGCCCCTCCCACAGACCTCACGGCCTCAACCTGGGGCAGGCTCTGGTCTGGCCCTGACCCCCCAGTTCCAGGGTCGCACTATAGAGACCTAGATGGCCAAACAAGAAGGCGGGGAGCCGCTCCCACTACCATGACTCGAATTCGATCTTGCAAGTCTGGCTAGACCAGAGGAGGTACACTGGTACAGATAGGAACTGAAAATACAGGGAATCCAGGACGGATGAGCCCTATAGGACCAGTGGTGTGAGTGGCAAAACAGGGAGGGTAAAGGGAGAATGGGTAGGAAAGAGGGAACCGATTACATGGAACTGTGTGTGACTTCCTCCCTGGGGGACAGACAACCGAAAAGTGGGTGAAGGGAGACGTCGGACGGGGCAAGATATGACAAAATACCCATTTATAAACTATCAAGGGCTCATGCGGGAGGGGGGAGCGGGGAGGGAGGGAAAAAATGAGGACCTAATGTCGGGGGTTTAAGTGGAGAGAAAATGTTTTGAGAAACGATGTACAAATGCGCTTTACACAATTGATGTGTGTATGGATTGGGATAACAGTTGTATGAGCCCCTAATAAAATGTTAAAAAAAAAAAAAAAGAAGGCAGGGAGCTCTGGACACCATGAATTCCTTCCCAGACCACTGCCAGCAAGCCAAGGCACCTCCCATGACTTTTGTGACCCCCCCACCCCTCCATCCCCCCGCAACTCCAGACTCAGTGCCATGGAGCCGATGCTGACTCTCAGTGACCCCACAGGACAGGGTGGAACGGTCCCAGTGCGGTTCGGAGACTGGAACCTCTCTACGGGGCAGACAGCTTCATCTTTCTCCCTCGGGGCAGGCGACTGGTGGTTTCCAACAGCTGACCTTGTGGTTGGTTAGCAGCCCAACCTGTAACCCGCCAGGGCTCTGACACATGTCACAGCATGATGGACAGGTGTGAGACGCTGCAAGCACGACCAGCAGGTGACCCGGGGACGCGCAGGGAGCACATGCTGTTGGGAAAGTGAGTCGTCAGACTTGCCCCGGGAAGGGTGACATCGGCCTTCAATTTTTTTTTTTTTAAGGTTGCATGTTCTGCAAAGTGCGGTGATGCAATGAGGCCCAGCCATGTCTAGGTTTTTTCCTTGCTAGTGTCCTCTGCCACTGCTGTTGAGGGTCACGGAGTTGTCGGCTCCGCCCACAGCGACCCTCGGCACAACGGAACCAACACGGCCCAGCCCTGCACCGTCCTCCCAGTGCTCCCTCCGCCTGAGCCCGTGGTTGCAGCCCCAGTGTCCACCCATCTCCTCAAGGGCCTGTCTCGTTGCCACTGCCCGTCCGCTTTTCCAAGCACGATGTCCCTCTCCAGGGACTGGCCTCTCCTGACAAGAAGCTCAAGGACCTCGGACGACGTCTCAGCATGCTTGCCTCGAAGGAGGCCTCTGGCTGTATTGCTTCCAGGACAGATTTGTTCACAGAGCCAAGAAGTCGCTCGCTCAGACTTTGGAGTTCCTCCGCTGCTGCTGCCTCGTAGCCCCCTACAGGTCTTCCAGAAGGAGCCCTGATGGCTCGCGTAGTGGGCTGTTAACCACAAGGTCAATGGTTCAAACCTGCCAGCCGGTCTTTAGGAGAAAGAGGAGGCTTTCTACTGTCGTGAAGCTCTGAAGTCTCAGAAACCTGCAGGGGCAGCTCTACTCTGTCCTCTGGGGTCACCGTGAGTCAGAGTCCACTCGCCAGCAGTGGGGGTTCCTGGGATCCAGAAGGAAAAGGCTTCTCTGTAAAGCTGGCGGGGCTCCGACGGTTCGAGGAACAGCACAGGAAGCTGACGTCACGGGCCGGCCCTGGGGCCTCTGAAGGCCTGGGTAGCAGACAGCAGGCGGAAGCCAAGGCCGCCTCTGGACGCTCCTGTTTCCTCCACCCCCCGGACAGCCATCCTTGTCCAGGTGGCCCAACAATTTCCTGTCCCTTGGCTGGGCCTTAAGGGCGTGGGGCCCAGTGGATTCTGAAGAAAACGCCTGTCTGTTTAAAGGGATGGGACATGCCCTTAGCTGTTTGGCACACTAGCGGGACCTGGCACTGTGGGCTTCTGGGAGAGGTGGCATGCAGGTGGAGCATGGACTCGCCAAGGCTTAGAGCCAACCCCCAACCTCGGCCATTGTCGGCTCATGACAACCTCGGCTGTGTCCCCGTAGAGTGCAGAGGGGGGCTCCTGGGGTAGTTACATCATTTCATGTCAACTTGGAGATAGATAAAAGTGTAGGGATGTTCTCAGGACCAGGGGAGAGAGTGGTGATACCAGGAGGTTAGAGAGAAGCTGGGGGAGAAAGGGGGAACTGATTACAAGGATCTACATATAACCGCCTCCCTGGGGGACAGACAACAGAAAAGTGGGTGAAGGGAGATGCCGGACAGAGTAAGACATGAAAAAACAATAATTTATAAATTATCAAGGGTTAGTGAGGGAGAGGGGCAGGGAGGGAGGGAGGGGAAAAGCGAGGAGCTGATACCAAGGGCTCTAATAGAAAGCAAATGTTTTGAGAATGATGATGGCAACAAATGTCCAAATGTGTTTGACACACTGGATGGATGGATGGACTGTGATAAGAGCTGTACGAGCCCCAATAAAGTGATTTTTTTTAAAAAGTGCAAGGATGGTCTTCAACCTGTCAGTCACATCACAGCCTAATGGTGCCTCCTCATGGGTGTGGTCTCATAAGGAGGGTCCTGGGAACCTCCCCCCTCTCTCCACCTCTACCTTCCTGCTGGCCACTCTGAGACCTGCGAGGCACCGCCATTGGATCCACAAGATTTTGCACCCACTGGCCTGTGATCTTCCTGCATGCTGCATCATTGCATGTGGTGGCGTGAGTCTGACGAGGGACTGATGGGCTAGTATTGGACTTGTGGACTTGAGTTGGATGCTTTCCTGGTGTATAAAGCTTCTTGCTACAAAGCTCACTCTTACACACACGCGAGTGTCACCGGATTGGTTTCTCTAGTCAATTAGTGCTCACGCAGCTCTACAGGGGCTCCATCGGCTGTTCATTCAGAGGCACACAGCCAGGGCTTCCTTCCAAGACGCCCCTGGGTGGACCTGAGCCACCCACCAGCTGAGCACATGGACTGTTCGCACCACCCAGAGAGCCCTGGGCTCCCTGCTACAAAGTGCCTCCACGCCACCGAGAGCCAAGGTTCCTGCAGGGTCTGGGGACACAGCCCTGAAACCCCAGACTCGTCCCCTGAGCCTTCACGGGGTCAGCATGTTGGCCTCGGAGAGGGAAAGAAGGCTCCTGTTCTGAACCCTCACGCTGAACCAGGGCACACAATTGGGGTATATGTGTGCATGACTGCGCATGGGTGTGTGCGTGTGTACAAGCTAATTCTTATCCCACAGCCTCCAGCGTCCAGTTTGGGAAAACCCAACCCAACACACTACCACTGAGTCAACTCTGACTCAGAGTGACCCTACATATAGGACAGGGTAGAACTGCCCCTGTGGATTTCTGAGACTGCAGTGTTTTACGGGAGAAGGACGGTTACAAAGCCGCGAGGACAGCTCAGCACCAAGGTCACCACCCAGTGCACCTGGTGACACTCTTGGGCTTTGCTGGGCCAGGGGGATTTCACAGGGACTTGGCGGCCTTTGCCATCTGCCTCGCACTCAGACTTCCTGATTCCGGGAGGGAGAATGGCTCTTTGTTTTGTTTTGTTTTGTTTCTGTGTCAGGGGCTGGCCTCTTCCTGCCTGTGCCTGGTTCTCAGAAGCGATGGGCCTTGCCGAGTCTGGGCGAGGGGCAGGGGTAGGAGCGCTGCTTTGCATGGGGGGTGGAGGTCGGTAGAAGCGAAGCCGATCCCTAATCAAGCCCAGTCTGACTCAAGGTGACCTGGACCGCAGAGGTGAACTGCCCCACCTCTGGGTGTCTAACACTGTCATCTTTACACAAGATTGCCGGGTCTTCCTCTGCAGAACAGGCCTCTCGGCAGCCGAGCGCTTCACCGCTGTGGCATCAGGCCTCCTCTGATCATTCAATATCACCCCAGGAATCTCTCCTTCTCCATTTAAGGAGATGACGATGTGCACACGTGCTTCCTGACCGGCGGCACCATGCCGACATGATAGTGTTGTGTGTACACAAATCAAGTCACAAGTGATAGTGTTACGCCTGCATCCGAGGGGGGGGGCCCTGGTGGCATAGTGGGTGAAGCTGCTACCTGTAAGGCCAGCAGTTTGAAACCACCATTCGCTCCACAGGAGAAAGAAGAGGCTTGCAGTCTTAGAAACCCACAGGGGCAGTTCTACCCTGTCCTATAGAGTGAGAATGAGGGAGATGGCGGTGGATTGGACTGGGGGGTCAGTGAGCCATGGGGGTGCAGGGGTTCCAGTGCCTGGCTGCTAGCTGAGAGGGGAGTAGTTGCTCCCCCACCCATGGTGGCTCAAAGAGGTGGGAGTCCAGTCGGCTTCTGGACAGATCGGGAACCCAAGGGGGGGTGGGGTGGTCAGTGCTACTCTGTCCCCTAGGCCACCAGGAGTGGACTTGACTTGATGCAGTAAGTGGGGGGTGCAAACCCTAACATCTGGCTGCTGACCACACGGTAGAGACGCCTCAGAAGAAAGGCCAGGCGAGCTGCAGAAAAACCAGCCACTGCAGACCCCGTGGAGCAGAGACCCCTGGGGCACAGCCAGTCTCCCTGGGAAGAGACCCCTTGGGCACAGTCCCCCTGGGTCACTGTGCGTGGGAACCAGCTGCCTGGCGGCGGATGGTAGCAAGGTTAGAGTAAAGAGCTTGGAAAAGGATCCTCAACTGCTGCCCCCAGACCCACCCTCTTCTCCTCACCCAGCTCCATCTCTTACCCCAACCAGAAAAAGCCAAGGGCCGCCCACCCCATGGCCCCTTTCCCCCTGCTGTCTTCCCACGGAAACGACACAAAGTAACGAAATTCAATCCAGAGCGGAACTAGGCTGTTCACGGCTCTTCCTCTCCCTCCACCCCCTCTTCCCCTACACCTCAGGGGGCCCAGTGCACAGCCAGCCCTGCAAGGGGACATGCATCCAGAGGTGGGACTCCCTGCCTCCCACAGAGGCACAGGGATGAGGAAGGGGCTGGTCTCCTACCCGGGGCAGGGCTGGGGACATCCAACCAGCAGTCCCTTGCAGCGCACCCGCAGGGAACCCAGGGGGGTGGAGGGGGATGCGCTGGTGATAAAGATACACCACCACCCCCACCGCACCCATGCTGCCATCAGATGGATTCCGAGTGGGAGCCCCCATACAGGGCAGGGTACAACTCTCCCCGTGAGTTTCCCAGACAGGATAGGAGCCTGGTGACACACTGGTTAAAGCACCCTGCCGAGAAACAAGAGCCCGGAAGGGGGAGGCATTGTTCTGGAAACCCCAGGCTGCAGTTCATCTCCTGTCCTACAGGGTCCGCCACTGAGCCAGCACCTACTTGCTGGCAACACTGGTTTGGTGTGGGCTTGTTTGATCCTTCTCCCCGGAACTGCTGGTGAGTTCACACCTCTCGCCTCCTGGGTAGCAGCCCAGAGCCTAGGGGCACACACACACCCTCCCGCCCACCCCAAGTTTCTTGGCAGCATCAGAACCACCTGCAAACTTGCAGCCCTAGCAGCCCCTTAGCCCGCCCCCAGCCGGGCTGAATCAGCACCTGGAGTCAGGCCACTGAAGGGTGTTTCCAGGGGACGGTTGGGTATGTTCAAGTCTGCGACCCTCTAAGAGGCCGAGTCCCACCTGCCGGAGGTGGCCAGGGCAGGGCAGACAGGCCAGGAGATGAAGGCCGTGGGTCGCTGGGGATGGAGGGAAAGGCGGATCTTGGACTTGGACCTGAAGTCTGCAGGCTTCTCGCCTTAGGACAGTGCCTTCCCCCTGGTGCCCAGTTTCTGCGTCCGGCCGCCCTCAGGCCTGCAGTGGGTACAGTGAGAGTGGCTGAGAGGACCTGGCCACTACCACCTGCCCTCCACTCCCTTCCCAGACCGAAATCCAGGGGCAGCTGAGAAAGCCGAGAATCTGACTGGTAGGGCATGCTGGGGACCAGGCCCCCTTCCCTGTGTGGGCGGTGGGGGAGCTGAGTCCTGGGGCTCTGCCAGTCCTGTGTCTCCAGCACCCCCAAAGGGTTCCGTGTGGCACAGCCTCATGGAACCAGGGAGTCACAGGTGTGGAGTTGGTGGGGCACAAAAGGGGGGCTCGGAGGAGGGAGCTGATCCCAGGTCTGAGCCGGCTTGACTTGTGCCGGGAGCCATTTGCCCCATACCCACGCCCCCTCTCATCCACAGACCGATTAGGACAATTATTATAATAGCTCATAATGGTAACCACCCATTTGGGGCGCACTTTATAGTTTATAAACCCTGGTCACCGACATTATACAGTGCCATTAATCGGCTACGCCGGCTTCCCCTCAGAGCCGGGTGGGGTGGCAGAGGGTTGGGACAGCTGAGCCTGGGCCCCTTGCGCTCACTGTACATGGCTGGTGCCGGGCAGCCAAGGGTGGGTCTTCAGAAGGGCATGGCCCATGCCTGTTGGGGCGCAGGCCCTGGAGCCCGCCAGGCCCAGGGGTGGGTGGGCCCTGCCTGAGAGTCTGCTCCTACCTGTCTCCCTGCATAATTCCCATCCAGGGGAGTGAGGCTTCTGCCCCATCATACTCCCCCTGTACACCCTCCCCACAAAAGCTATGGGAGGGTGTCTCTCTCTCAGCCCTTGGGGGTGAGGTACAAAAGACAAATGTCTGACTCCTAGCCTGGTGGTGTCAGGGATTGAGGGTGGGGCCACTAACCACAGGACTGGTGGTTCAAGCCCATCAGCTGCTCCCTGGGAGAAAGATGAGGCTGTCTGGTCCGATGAGGATCGGCGGTCTCAGAATCCCTCTAGGAGAGCTAGGATTGACTCGATGACCCTGGGCTTGGTCTGGTTTGGACTGGCTTAAAGGCCGGCAGCTTGTACCTGCCACGCAGCCCCGTGGAAGAAAGAGCTGGCCATTCCTCCCTGGGATTGCACAGCCGAGAAAACCCACTCTGCCCTTCTCTGGGCCTCGGAAGCGAGCCGGCAGTGGGTTTGGGTTGGGTTTGGGGACACAAGGCAAACGGACCCCAAAACTGAGCTCCCTGCCATCGAGTCAATGCCGCCTCACAGCGCCCTGACACGACAGGGTCGAGCTGCCCCTGGGGGTTCTGAGAGTGTCACCCTTCGTGGAAGTAGATCGCCCGTCTTTTTCCTGCAGAGTGGCGGCTGGTGGTTTGGAACTCCTGACCTAGAGGTTAGCAGCCCACTGCGTAACCACACCACTAGGGAACCAAGAGTCACCCCTGAAACGGTCACAAGTGAGCCTGGGAAGGTCAGGCCTCTGGGGCTTCCCAGGCGGGGACTCCCCCTTCTGGGGTCGGTTCCTCCTCCAGGGTGCTGCTGGAGGGGCCAGGGGGAACGGTCATCGCAGGCCCCTTCCCTCCACAGCCCAGGTATGGGGAGGGAACGGGGCAAACCCCTAACCAACCCCCCTGCCATCGCGTTAATGTCGCCTCCTACGGACCGTATAGGAGAGGGCAGACTGCCCCTGTGGGTTTCCAGGGCTGTGATTCTACAGCAGTGGATAGGCTCGTCTCTCTCCTGAGGAGCGGCTAGAGGTTTGGAACTGCTGACCTTGCGGGTGGCAGCCCAGTGGGAACCACGACACCCACAGGGCTCCCTGGAACTGCTGATCTTGTGGGTGGCAGTCCAGTGGGAACCACGACACCCGCAGGACTCCCTGGGGATGGGGCAGCTCACTCAATACACAAGGTAAGCCCGCACTGGCTTTTGCCTGCTTTCTAATCGGCTGTTCGCCACAGAGCAGGAGGTTAGCACAGGTCAGCTTCTGCTTACCTCACTTCCTGGCTGCCCCACCCCTATCACCAGGGGCTGTTCCGTGTTTGTACGTGTTTGCAAGAGGAGGCTCAGACCCTGAGGGAAGGCGCAGTGGGGCTGGGAGAGGGGCGGCTGCCAGCCAGATCTAGAAGCAGGATCTTTGACAGGAAATAGTTCGCTACAGATAAGCGAGCAAGCACCAGTCAGCCTGTGCTTACCTTGTTTACGGTGAGATGCAAGGCTGGTGAGGAGGCCCAGGGAGTGAGCTCCCTGGGGTCCAAGCCCTGGGACACTGTGCCTGCATGAGTCACCATGCCAGTCCCCGGTGCCTCCATCCCAGCCACGCTGCTCTGGCCCAGGCCCCTGGGCACCAGCCCTCCGTCACTGGGGAGGGCTGGGAGGGTGGCAGTGGGTCCCCAGGTGACACAGGAGACGCCCCCTGCTTTGCCCCCGGGGAGGGCTCTGTGCTGCTGGTGGCCTGTGTCTTTAAGGCGGGATTAGAGTCTCAGAGCCGCTTAGGGAACCCCAGCGGGAGGCTGGTCTTCTGCCAGCACATGCCAGGGCTGGGGCAGCCCGACACCAGGGATCATGTGCTGGGACCACTGCCCTCTGCTGGGACCTGGTCCAGGGAGGACCTGGAGCAGCATTCACGGCCAAGGACCAGTGTTCCCAGGCTGCTTGGGGCCATTTTTACCCAAACTCTGCCTCTGAGGTGGCCCACGCATCATGGGGGACCGGACAACCGGCCCAAAGCCTCCACAGGGTGGATGTTGGAAGAAGACTGGGCTTCCACCCGCACCCCCAACCTCTCCTCCCCCTGCCCTGCTCGATCCCTCCCGGGGCTCAGCCTCTTCTCTGGCCGGTCCAGCACGGGTGGACCTTCAGCAGGCAACATGGCCCCTGGTGCAAGAGCCCAGGTGGTGGGGTTTCAGGCTGGACCCGTGGGACGTTGCACTTGGCTCTCCGTGGGCAAATGGCTACTGTCCTCGCTGCTTCAGACAATGACCCCCTCCCACCTCCACTGCTCTGTGTGTGTGTGTGGGGGGGGCACTTCCACCCAGAGGGGGCATCCGTCTGTCTGTGTATCTGTACCACACAGACCCAGAGGGAACTGCCTTGGTGGGAACCTGGCTGGGCCCTTGTGGCCACACTGACCGCCCGTGTTGTGACCAGGCCCCGCCCCTCGCTGCTGCCCACGAGACTCACCAGGGCGTCGATCCCGGAGAAGGTGTGGTTGGCGCTGTCCAAGGAGTATATCAGCTGGTACACCCCGTCGTTGGTCTCACTGTTTCCATAGAAGCCAACGCCCACCGCGGCGCTACGGGCGAGACCCCAAACGGAGGTTAGAGGTCACGAGGGAGGGGGACAGTCAGGGACTTTAGCTGAGGAAGGCCCTCCTGGGTGGGAGGCAGGGATGATGGCTGGAGTTTTGGCAGATGGGGTCCTGGGGCGGGGTGGGGGGGTCGGGGGAGGTGACACCAAGTCACAGAGCAAGAACCTGCAGGTCCAGGTGCACTGTAGTGCACCAGTGGCCAGTGGCTTTATTTCAGTGGCCTTCGTCACCGTGGCCTTTGTCACGTGGAACCACTTCTCTGACTCAAGGTGACCCTGTGTACAAGAGAGCTTGATGCTGCCCGGGTCCTATGCCACCTTCACCAGCCTTCCGCCGAGCCCACTGTTGCCGGAGCTCTGCTGCTCCAGCTCCTGAGGGGCTTCCTCATCTTCTCCGCTGCCCTTCTCCTTGACCAGGCCTGGCGTCCTTGTCCAGGTTCTGGTCACGTGGCCCGGGTAGGAGATGGCGTCTCAGCATCCTTGTTGGACTTAACAAGAACTCACCACTGGCCCGGCGGCTTCATTAGGGTGGAGATGGGGGGCCTGGCCTGGAAGGAGAGCTTCTGATGCACCGGCCGGTTTGACCCACAGATGGGTTTGGGAGCCATCGCTGTCTGGTGAGACTATGGGCCCAGTGCCCTTCAGGTGCCCGCTGAGTCCTCTGGGAATGGGGGCTCTCCATCTTTTACCCTTCTCCCCACCACTCGGGGGCACCCTGTTCTTCTCCCGAGGGATTCCAGTTCCTGCAGGTACCGGGCTGCACCCCACCCTAACTCATCCCGCACCGGGGGCGGGGGCAGCCTGGAAAAAAGCCACATCCGTTGCCATGGGGTTGATGCCCACTCACAGGGACCCTAGAAGAGAGGGCAGCACTGCCCCTGTGGTTTCTGAGCCTCTAATTCTTGCTGGAGCAAAAATGCCTCATTTGTCTCCCGAGGAACAGCTGGTGGTTTTGAACTGCTGACCTTGAGGTTAGCAGCCCGACACGTGACCCACCCTTCCCTCTCCTGAGTCCTTCTGGGTAAAGTCTCCATGACCTTCCACTGTCACCACCCGCCAACCTGGCCTCTGCTTGGAGCACCAACGCCTACCCAGCTCCTGGCACAGAGGGGCTAATGAATTATGCCCGAGGCCCAAGTCGATGGCCGCTGCGTGTCCTACACACAGCCCTGGACGGCGCCACAGGAACGTCGGTGAAGCCGTCTCTCCCGGAGCCACCTGGAGTGCTCCGCTGCTTCAAAAACAAGGCGGAACTTTCTGGCTCTCCTGGTTCAATCCCATCTGCTTGGCATCATCCCAGAATCCCAGGGATGACGAACATACCGCTCCAAGTCTCCACTCAACCACTGATCTCACGCCATCTGACTCACGCTCCTTGGGACGCTCCGATGTTTACGAACCCGCCCCATGGGTTTCCACCCAGCACATGAAACGTCGTGGGGCGCACAGTGAACATACACACACGCCTCTGCTTCCACGTTTCCCAGCTTTTAACAGGAGAGGACCTGGGTGGGGTCCTCTGGAAGATGGAGAGACCTCCCTCTGCCCAAGCTCAGTGTCTATACCACAGCACCGAATCCCCACGGCCCCTGAACCCACAGAACCAGTGTGGTCTGGGAAGGCGCATCTTCTAACGAGGCTCCCATGTGCTTCACGTGCCCCAGGGTGTATGTATCTAAACACTGAGAACACGGATCATGGATGTAGACACAGGGTGGGACAGACCAGACACAGACAGAGACAGAGATAGAGTAGAGAGAGACGGACTAGACATGACCTGGGACAGGCTAGCCTTACATGTAGGACAGGCTTAGACTCAGCTGTAGCGTACGGACTAGACACAGACTAAATACAGATACAGGGTAGGAATCAATAGACTTAGATAGAGGATACAGACAAAGACTAGATATCAAATAAATACACCACAGGGTAGGCAGAGACTAGATAGAGACCAGATACAGACTAAATACATAAGGCAGGCGCAGGCTGGACAGAGAGCAGCCTTAGAGGTAGGGCAGCACCTTGATAGAGTCGGAGACTGGATATGGATCTCAATATGCAGGGCAAATGCAGACGCAGATTGGACAGAGGGCAGACGGAGACAGAGCAGACACAGACGGTACAGACTAGACAGAGACCCAGTCAGCACACGGAGGAGACGCAGGCATACACACAGAGCACACACAGGTGGAGACACAATCACACAGCTACAGTTTGCCATCAGTTTGGTCCAACTAGCTCCGAATCCACTTGGAGCCAACAGTCACCATCCGTCCCCCAGGAAGGCTGTGAGGAACGCTATCAAATGCCCAGCTAAAATGTTAGCGTGTGCAATTGACTGCACACCCACGATCCTCTCTGTTGTAGCACTTTATTCAACGAGAGAACGGTTGCTGTGACTTGGCCAGGACGTGCTGGCTCCTGGTGTTTAGAACATCTCTAATTTTCTGCAGTTTCGCGCCCCGGTGTTTGCCGGGGACTGGACACAGCGTGGAGGGCTGCTTTTCCTGATGTCGAGACGAGGGGGCTCTAGTTTCCCAGGAACAAGAGTCACCTGGGCAGTTCTGTGCGGCTCCCTCCCAGCCGGGGTGGTATAATGAATGGGTCAAGTGTGGGGCTGCTAACCTGGAGGCGGGCAGTTCAAATCCACCGGCTGCTCTGTGGGAGAAACATGAGGCTGTCTGTTCCTGTCAGGGTCTAGTCTTGGAAACTCTAAGGGAGAGTTCGACTCTGTCCTATAGGGTTTCCATGAGTTCTGATGGACTGAACAGTAGTGATCCATCCCCTTGCCCTCCCAGTTCTCCTTCCCTGCTTCTGACCGCCCACCCTGCCAGTTAGTCCCGCCTTTGTAAGACAGGAGCCCTGCTGGCAAAGTGATTACAAGTTGGACTGTTTGAAGCCACCAGTCTCTCCACAGGAGAAAGACAGTAAAGGTCTCCTCTCGGAAACTCCCGGGCAGCTCTACCCTGTCCCACAGGGTCGCTGTGAGTGGGCCTCTGCCCGATGGCAGTGAGCGTGGTGGCACCGTGGGCGGTGGGCTGGACTGCCCACCTCCAGGCCTGCTGCCATTAGAACCCAGCAGGTTCTCTGAGGGAGGAAAACCAGGCTGCCTGCCCCCACAAAGAGTCAGGGTCTCAGAAACCCACAGGGCGGCCCACAAGGGCTCTGTGAGCCGCAGCTTGGTTTGGGGGGTGCTTTTAGGTGAAGGTGATGCAAGGCACATGGCAGGAGCACCCCCCTCCCCTGGGGTAGGGCTGGGGCCAATCGGGAGGTGTCTCCCACCCCAATCCCCTTAGAGCCAGCCCATTGGTGACCAGACTGGATGACAGCGGGGAGGTGGGGGAGAGGGAGAAGGGCATCGTTACATAACTGCTGAACACAGAGACTCAGAATCACATCCCCGCCAAGGTGGTACCTATGTGAGAGGTGGGGTCTCTATGACAGAGATCTATGACCTCCAGGCCGCTCAATCAGAGGGCATCTTCCCATCCCCTCGGCCCTGGCGGCTCCGGGACCTGCCTTCCTTCCTGTCCAGTCTCCTTCCGTACCTGGCTGCTGTGACATGATGCACTTGACCTTGGGGCCTCTTCTGTCCCCTGGACCCGTGGCCTCCACTCACTCTCTCTAGGCTAAGACTTAAGGGTCCCCGCGGCAGCCCTGCATCCCCATTGGCCTAAAAGCATCTTAAACCCAACCGGGGACCCCCTCCCTTTGCGGGTCTCACACCTTGCTGGGCGCCCCCTACCTCCCATCCAGATGCTTAAACCAGAAACTGGGCGTGGGGATGGGGGGTCGGGAACCCTCTACCAGCTCCTCCTACTTCTCTCCCAGCCCTTTCCCTGCCCACTGCCTAGGCAGCCAGTGGCTCTGGCTCTCATTTCAGATTTTGTGATGCCCCAGGGACCGGTCAGGAGCTTCTCTCTGCTGGGAACTCCTGGCTTGGACTCATATTTAAGCCCAGGACCCACGGGGGCCGAAACCCAGGCCTGCTCACCCGCGCTCCAGGCTGCTTCATCCCTGTGATCTTGCCCCGGGCTCTTTCCTGCCTCTGGCCCGTGATCGCCATCCCCAGGCAGGTGGCCAGGTCGACGGGTGAGCCCCGGTGAGCCCCGGTCCCTGGACCTGTCCCAGTTCCGGGTCAGCTCAGCCGAGGTGGGAGCGACAACCCCATGCTCTGGGTGCTCAGGCACTTGGGAGGGCGGCTCTCTGGCTCTTGGGAGCATCTCAGGGAAAGCCCTGTGGAGCCCCAACAGGGAGAGTGTTGCTGCTCCCACAGTCCGACTGGGCGGGTGTGCAGGGCATCCCCTCTGCCCCAGTGTGGCGCCCGGGAGTCAGGACCCCAGTGGAAGCAAAGAGCAGCTAATGGCACTAAAAGCTATTGATCTTGTGTGAGTCAAGCTTCCTTGTCACCTGGATGACCCAGGGTGGCCGCTAGGAGGGGGCAGGGACCCTGAAGCCCAGTGAATGAGAATGCTGTCCACCAAATGCCCCTGAGAACTCCCTTCCTGGACTGGGCAAGCCCACCCCAGAGCAGTGGCCACCTGGCACCGGAGTCCAGTTGCTGGGCAAGAAAGGGGCAGCAGTCAACTTGTCAACTAGTCAGTCGACCAGTGACCACTAGAGGCTTGTCAGGGACAGAAGGGATGCCACTTACAGTCATGGTGACCGACCCAGACAAGCTAACATCCTAACTCTGAGCATGCGCCGCCCCGCCTCCCGCCTCCCGCCCACCGCCAAGGAGAGCCCCTTGGAGAGGGACACTCACCAGCAGATGAGCCCAGCCACCACGGCCGTGCAGGTGACGCAGCAGGCGTTGTGAAGCTTGGTCTGCACGCCATGGTTTGGGCGGCGGCGGCAGCAGGTGCAGGTCAGGTAAACTGCGAGGAAGAGGAGGTTCAGGGCCAGGCCCCCGGCGGCCACCAGCCCCAGGAACAGCAGGGACTGGGAGGGAGAGACAGAGGCCTGGGGTCAGCACCTGATTGTGCCAGCCCTGTGATCACCCGTCATCAACTGAATGGTGTCCAAGCCCCTACACCCGCCCTGTGGATAAGGAGCCCGGGTGGCACAGTGGCGAAGCGCTCGGCTGCTAATGGAAAGGGAGGTGTTGCCAAACACACCCATCGGCTCTGAGGGAGCCAAGCCCTGACAGCCTGCACCTGTCCAGGTGGCAGCCTTTGTAAATAAGAAAGTCCAAGGCCGGAGGAGGGAAGGGTATCAGAGCTTACGTTCTGAGCACCCGGTTGGCAGAAGGCTATGGATGACAGTGGAAGCCCCCAATCCATTTGCAGGCCCCCCGCCCTCCCCGTGGACGAAGCTTCTGGTGAGTCCCCTCTGAGCACAGAGCAGCGATGGGAAAAGTCCTGCTCTCCTGGAAAGCGCACCAGGGCTGGTAGAGAGCTGGGTTAAACTTTAACACCTGATCTTTGCTCTCCCCTATGACCCCTTTTTAATCTGTTCTGGTTTTAGTTATTATTATTTTAATGAAAAGATCATTTTGTCGGGGCTTTTCCAGCTCTGACAACAATCCATCCATCAGTCGCATCAAGCACATGCGCACACATTGTCCCGGCTATTGTTCCTTGCGGCTGAGGTTTTCCTGTCTTATTTTTCTACTGCTGGTGGGGGTGTTCCCCCCGCCCCCGTGTACGTCTTTCTTCACATGAAATCCATAAGAGGTACGTCTACAGAGAGAGGAACTGGACTTATCGTCTCCTCGGGACATGGCCGGGAGATGGGGGAAACGGGGAGCTACTAAGGATGCGTCCAAGAACGAAGAAAGTGCTCGGACTGTGGTGGTGACGGGCTCACCACGCGCTCAGCAGCTGGGAGCCACCGGCCGCTTTGGAGGAGACAGACGGTCCTCCTAGTCCCACGGAGAGCTGCCGTGTCGGACACCCTGGGGCAGTTCTACCCTGGCCTGCAGGGTCACTGCGAGACGGCATTGACCCGATGGCAGTGGGTTTGTTTTGTTTTGTGTGGACTCTGTTACAGCAGCTCTTGGAAACCAAGATTGACTGATTGATTGATTCCTCCCTCCCTCTGTCGTCGACCGTCAAGAGTCCACACGCGTGGCAAGCTGGCGCTCTCTGGGGCTCTGGGGGTGGGCAGAGGACCAGTGACTTGGGGACCAGCTGAGTGAGGGATGGGGCGGCCCTGCATTTCCAGCCATGCAGGCACCAGGGTCCTGCCTGGAGCCAGCCGTGAGGCAGTGGGCCCCAGGGAAGAGGGGCATGCATGTAGAGTGTGTGCCCCAAGCCCTTGGGGAGAGAAGGGCTGAGCAGGATGCTTGGGACCCTGCAGGGGCCTGTGACAGGGCCAGGAAGGGGCTGCCTGGAGTGGCCACCCTCCTCCATGCCAACCCAAGCCAGGGACTGTCACGTGGGGCCCAGGCTGTGACGTGGTGTCACGTAGCCCCCCTCGTGGGTGTCAGAGGCTAATTTTCTGGAGGGCGTTCACCAGGCCTTTCTGTCGTGGCACCTCTAGGGGGGACTAAAACCGCCGGCGTTAACTGTTTGTCCTGTTTGGGGTCCCTCTGTGCCAAGGGCCCCATGGGCTTGCCGCCATCACGTGATGCCCAGGCTCTAGAGAGCCTTGGTCTGGGTGTTGAACGTCCTATCAGGATATGCACTGTGGGGTGACAGGGACGGTGACCCCCATGGCGAGGGCAACCCAGCCTTCTGAAGGGGCAGGAGGCGTCTGTGAGCTCCTTCTCAGGCCACCTGGTCCACCGGGAAGCCCCGTGGCCCACCCCCTCCTCCAACCCACGGGCGTGGTAATCTCTTGATGCATCCAGCTGGGCGCCAGCTGGGCTCTGATTTGGTGGCAGGGCTGTTCCTGGTGCTCGACCAGGCTCCTGCGCTGTCAGCCTTCCTGTCCCTCCCCACACATGAAGCTAAGGTCCAGAGCCCCCAAAGGACTCCAGGCTGGGCTGTCAAAGGGGGGGTGGTGCTCTTTGACAGGTGGGGGCCTCAGCTGAATCCCACAGAGCCTGGTCATTTTCAGCTGAGTGGAGCCGAGGTTGTTTAGGTGCCTCGGTGCACGCGCCCAACACCTGGCCCAAAGGGTGTCGCCCTGGGCCCACGACGCCGGAGTCTCAGGGACGCTGAGACTATCTTCCCTGAAAGGGCACACAGACTGGCTCACACTTGGTCCTGACCTTCACCAGGGAAAAGGATATGGCTGGTGCTCCTGGGAGCGGGCCTCTCCCCACAACCCCAGGCAGCTGGGAAGACAGACTGGGGGCGGAGCTGTCACCGGACAGTCCTCAGTGAAGCAAGGGACCAGACCACCAATTAGTTGGGCCCCTGCCCTGGAGCCGCATGGGATCTATCAGCCTCCTCTAGCGCTGACTCCACGCCTCTCTCCAGCGGGCCCCAACCCCAGGGCCAGGCCAAGGAGGCCCAGCTGGATGTGGGGACCGGAGCCCCGCTACCAGGGTGCGCAGAGCCCTGAGGAGCAGCTGCCAACTGAAAGGTCAGGGAGGTGGCCCTAGCTCTGCGGGAGCAAAGACCGGGCGATCGGCTTCCGTGAGGGCTGCCCCCCAACCCCCGCCACCCCGGGGGCGCTTCTACTGCCCCATGCGCTCGACCCGACTGGGCGGTGCCCCGACTATTCACTGTGAAGCTCAGCTTTGCTGCTCCTGCCGAGGCCAAGGTCTGGGCCTGGAGAGGACCGGAGGGGATGCAAGATCCCCTCCAGGGTCAAAACCCTCGCGGCAGCCAGTGCCACAGCAACGTGGGAGCCGAATCCTGCTGACCGACGTCAGCGTGGGTCTACCCAGAGGTGCCTCGGAAGAAAGGCCAGGTGATCTACTTCTGAAAAACCAGCCCCTGAAGGCCCCAGGGGCACAGTCTCCTCCCTCTGATGCAAGTTGGGGGGCCACTGGGAGCGGTGGTCACCATGGCGGGAAGGGGCTTGGAGCTCGGCGATTGCCGCTGCTGTCCCGCCAACAGGTGTTCTCAGACCTTCTGCGGGCTCGGGGGTTGGGGGGTGGCCCTTCCCCTTTCCTCGAAACAGAACCGAGGTATGGGATCTGGAGCCCCACCCCCAACACAAACCAGCTGGCAGAGTTCTGACTGAAGGGTGGGTGAGAATGCCAGCCTGTGCCCTGCCCACCCCCCTTTGCAGACACACCCTGAGGCCCTTCTGCTAAACCTCAGGGCCCCTGGAATCTGTCACCGTGCAAAGCGCACGACCCAGGACCCATGGAGTCTGCTCCTTACCCACGGAGACTCGACAACCCCAGGGCACACGCACACCAGTGCCTGCCAGTCACAAACCAGAAACAACCCAGGGGTCCAGCAGCCCGAGGACAGGCGCCCACAGGGTGTTATCCTCAACCTGGAGAAGGCGGGCACAGCTAGCCGCCAGGACCACGGGCAGGTGCCTCCCTGGTGAGCAGGAAGGGCGAGCAGGCAGGCAGCGCCACAGAGGCTTCGCAGAGCTCAAACCGGAGAAGCGCGCCAGTCTCCGGCAGCAGAGGCCCCAATAGCAGGGACTGGTGGGGGCAGCTCCCTGGGGTGCGTCAGGAAGGACATTTATATTTGGATGGTGCTCCTCTACACACCAAGGGGCTTCAGAGAGTTCGCAGGACATGCATATTATGAGAAAGAAAAGGCATGGCTTTGCCATTGCTTTGCATCACAATAAACCCGCCCCGATCTGTTCTTATCATGCTCCTTGAATCTGAGGGGAGACCCTGGACAGGTTGGTGAGCCCAGTGGCTGCCACAATGGGGTCTGACGTAGCAAGTGATGTGAGGTGGCCCAGGACCATAGTGGGGTCCTTCCGTCCTATGCAGGGGCGCTGTGGGTCAGAACCAACCTGAAGGTAGCCAACAACGACAACATGTTGCAACGCGTCTCCCAGTGTGAGGCATTCAAGAGACTAAGGCACCCGTTGGAAAAGAGGCCCTGTCAGGGAAGGGGATTTTGCTCAAAGGGAAGCAAGAACAAGCATCAAATTCAGGGCGAAGCGTGGGTGGCAGGGTGGTGAAACTACTGATGCTTTATGAAATGCTCAGGGGACAATGTGTCAAAGACACCAGCCGTTGACCAACGGATCCATCATTGAAAGAAGGGACAAGACGAGACTGGAGCCACATCAATTCTCGAGGAAACAATTCATCCTACTCCGGCCTGTTCTCACTGAAGAGAACCAGCCATGAACAGCACAAAGGAGAGCCAGCTGGTTCACCTTCGGAAATTCTGACTGAAAAACTAAAGTAGAATAAACTTGTTGCTCACTGGGCGTCCGATCGGATGCAGAGAGGGGCAGAGCTTTGGATGGGCATTTTCCAGCAAGTGGGATCCCGAAGAAGCGGAAGCGTTTCTCTGAAGAACGGCAGCAGGAGGTAAAGTCAGCTCTTAACCAGTCCGCTCTGGAGGCCCAGTCCAGCAGTAGCTAACAAGAGATGGGCACGGTCCAGCCGAAGCAAAATAGGAAAGGCTATGCCAACTGTCTTTTGGGATGCGCCAGGCATTTTGCAGGCTGGTCCTCTGGAGGGCCACAGAAGCGTCACATGCTTCCGTGAGAATGTCTTGGGAAAGATAAGACAAAGGCGGGGGATTCTCCAGGCTCTTCACTGACCACAGCAATGCGCTGCAAATCCCTCCCATGTAACGCGAGCCATCTGGGGAGTGTTTCCATAGGGAACCATTTAGACCTAACACTTCTGATGTGCGTCCTCCTGACTTCTTCCCATTTCCTAGTCTTTAAAAATTTTTTTTTAAATCTGTAAAGGACTGTTTTTCTTGAAGAATGGGCATGGCTAAATTCCCAGGACCCTCAGTTCTGTAGGCCTGGGCAAAGTGTCTGCCATCCTCATCACTTGCATACAAAGTCTCTTGAACTTGCTGGAGCTCGTATGGAGAAATAAGGAGTTTTCATTTCCCCACAAGCTTTAGAAGCCCCTTGCCTGCCCTGTGTGTTGCTGTCATTAG